CACACACACACACACACACACACACACACTCTCTCACACACACACACACTCTCTCACACACACACACACACACACACACACACACACACTCTCTCACACACACACACACACACACACACACACACACTCGCACTCTCTCTCACTCACACACACACACTCGCACTCTCTCTCACTCACACAGACACTCACACACACACTCTCTCACTCACACACACACACGTTTAAACTTCCGTCTGGCCTTAAGTGTCTCTGCATCTGTTCTGCTCTTGTTTCTAACCCAAACCAAGCCGTCACAACTATTAAACGTCTCAGACCGCATTCACTCACATCACACACTGGTCTGGGTCAGCCTCACTAACCAGGTGTGTGTTTCTGATTCATTTCAAACGAACATCATGAAGCGAAGACGGAATGAGAGAAGACAGCTGGAGATGGTCAGTGCAGCTCTCACTTTGACCTGACTCACTCTCTGCTGGTGTCTGACTCCAGAACACTACCCGTCAACTAAAGAAACCCTTAACCCACCCACAGTTTCTCTAAACTACCTGCACCATATCTAGTGTGGCTATAAACATCTGAAGAAACACACTCTGTTTGGCCCTGAGAATCAGAGTCAGCATGAGCAGACACAGACAGATGCCTCAGTGCTCGTGCCAGTCTCTTCTGCTTCCAGAACAAGAACAAAAGAGGCGCTTATTCATGGAGCCTCGTGTGTGTTTCAGATGAAAGACCACCACCAGATACAGAACTAATTGATCACGACGAGAGAACAGAAGCGCAGAGACCTCATTCACACAAAGCCTTCGACGGATCTCCCTGTTCTTTTACTCAGAAAATAAGCCCAAATATCAGCCGATGACAGAACAGTGAAACACTGACGCATCCGGTGAAGGCCTGACACGGCCTGCTGTTCTTCAGGTTTGGAAGAAGAACAACGCCTGTACTTCGGCATATCTGAGGCTCTTGAGCAGTTAAGCAGACAGACTCGCTCTAGTATTGTGCATGTCACGAAGCTCACGGTCTTTCCTCTGCAGCTCTATCAGGAGAACACAGCCCACAGTAATATTGTTCCGCAAACCACATTTTATTTCCTTCCTTCCTTCCCAGTCACACTTTCTGCTGGTGTCCGTGTTTAAACACGAAAGAAAGCCGAAGTACAATGTGAGGTTGGGTTGAAACCACAGCGGCGCTCTGAGATCAGTAAACCAAGCATAAGACATCTGATGACTTGTACATTTGTGCTTTTTTAAAAGCATACTATATTTCTAAAGAAGCTTTTTTATTTACATGTATTAATTTATGCATGTTTAGTGTAAGAGAGTGGGAAACTAAAGTTATATATTTTTTATATTTTGATATCAAAACAACTCCAATGAATAGACATTTGAAAAATGCATCATCGCGGAGATTTTTAACTCAAGCCGTTGCAGTCTGTCAGTCGTATAATGCATATAGATATCTCTCAAGTGGAGCACTCTATCTACGATCTCAGTTAGGAGTGTCCTGCTCCACTTGAGAGGTATCTATATGCATTATACGACTGACAGACTGCAACGGCTTGAGTTAAAAATCTCCGTTTGTGTTCTCTTCACTACCTATAGATTATAAATGAAATATTTGTAATTATTTTAAATGGTCCTCATTAGGATAAATGCATCCGCTAAATGACAATGTATTTCTCTCTCACTTGCTGATTCTCTGTTGTAGTAATTATTTGAGTAAAACAGTCTGTAATGACTCATAACTGTTTATACTTACATTCTGTAATCTTTATTTAAATTAATTATGCCCTTTACATTTTTGTCTGAATTCGTGGACTTTTATTCTGTTTTATCCTCTGGCGCCGGCTTCCGGTTCCTCAGACACAGCGGCGGCAGCATGGGACCAGGAGCGAAAATAAACAGACCCAAAACTGTGAGTTTCTGCATCAAAATCATTCGCTTCTGCTAATAAGTGTGCGTTTCTCTCGTGTGTTCGCCTCCTGTTTTATATTGGCTCCGTCAGACTTCTTCAACTCTGGTTTTAATGCGTCGTAGAAGCACATGTCGTCATCTCTTAATCGCGTTGATCCGAGGCTACACGTGTGTGCTACGAACTATTAATACGGTCCAATCAATAATTACAATAAACCCGACTATAATTAACACTATACACTAACACTTTGCATTGTCCTTTTGAGTTTGAAGAAGGGTTCTGGCTTGTCTGACTCAGACTGACACAGATTGTTCTGCAGGAACTGGCCAAGAAGCTGTTCAAGAGACGCAGGGTTCTGAGTCAAGAGAAGAGACGCAAGAAGCGGATCGTGGGAGCTGTGATCGACCGGGACATCATCACCAAACACCATCTGAAGAAGAGGAGGTGCGTCTGCGTCTCTGAACAACACACACACACACACAGAGTTCTAGTGAGTGCCCTGACCGTGTTTGCTGTGCGTCCTCCAGCTCCAGCTCCAGAGCCAACATCACTCTCTCGGGGAAGAAGAGGAGGAAGCTGATCAAGCAGCTGGCGCACATGGAGCGAGAGAAGATCGCTGTGGAAGGTACGCGTTTCTGCTTCTTCAGCGCCACCATCTCCAGAGATCCGTCCTCACACACTCTTACACACACACACACACACACACTCTCTCACACACACACACACACTTTCTCTCTCTCTCTCTCTCACACACACACACGCTCTCTCTCTCTCACACACACACACGCTCTCTCTCTCTCACACACACACACGCTCTCTCTCTCTCACACACACACACGCTCTCTCTCTCTCACACACACACACGCTCTCTCTCTCTCACACACACACACGCTCTCTCTCTCTCACACACACACACGCTCTCTCTCTCTCACACACACACACGCTCTCTCTCTCTCACACACACACACGCTCTCTCTCTCTCACACACACACACGCTCTCTCTCTCTCACACACACACACGCTCTCTCTCTCTCACACACACACACGCTCTCTCTCTCTCACACACACACACGCTCTCTCTCTCTCACACACACACACGCTCTCTCTCTCTCACACACACACACGCTCTCTCTCTCTCACACACACACACGCTCTCTCTCTCTCACACACACACACGCTCTCTCTCTCTCACACACACACACGCTCTCTCTCTCTCACACACACACACGCTCTCTCTCTCTCACACACACACACGCTCTCTCTCTCTCACACACACACACGCTCTCTCTCTCTCACACACACACACGCTCTCTCTCTCTCACACACACACACGCTCTCTCTCTCTCACACACACACACGCTCTCTCTCTCTCACACACACACACGCTCTCTCTCTCTCACACACACACACGCTCTCTCTCTCTCACACACACACACGCTCTCTCTCTCTCACACACACACACGCTCTCTCTCTCTCACACACACACACGCTCTCTCTCTCTCACACACACACACGCTCTCTCTCTCTCACACACACACACGCTCTCTCTCTCTCACACACACACACGCTCTCTCTCTCTCACACACACACACGCTCTCTCTCTCTCACACACACACACGCTCTCTCTCTCTCACACACACACACGCTCTCTCTCTCTCACACACACACACGCTCTCTCTCTCTCACACACACACACGCTCTCTCTCTCTCACACACACACACGCTCTCTCTCTCTCACACACACACACGCTCTCTCTCTCTCACACACACACACGCTCTCTCTCTCTCACACACACACACGCTCTCTCTCTCTCACACACACACACGCTCTCTCTCTCTCACACACACACACGCTCTCTCTCTCTCACACACACACACGCTCTCTCTCTCTCACACACACACACGCTCTCTCTCTCTCACACACACACACGCTCTCTCTCTCTCACACACACACACGCTCTCTCTCTCTCACACACACACACGCTCTCTCTCTCTCACACACACACACGCTCTCTCTCTCTCACACACACACACGCTCTCTCTCTCTCACACACACACACGCTCTCTCTCTCTCACACACACACACGCTCTCTCTCTCTCACACACACACACGCTCTCTCTCTCTCACACACACACACGCTCTCTCTCTCTCACACACACACACGCTCTCTCTCTCTCACACACACACACGCTCTCTCTCTCTCACACACACACACGCTCTCTCTCTCTCACACACACACACGCTCTCTCTCTCTCACACACACACACGCTCTCTCTCTCTCACACACACACACGCTCTCTCTCTCTCACACACACACACGCTCTCTCTCTCTCACACACACACACGCTCTCTCTCTCTCACACACACACACGCTCTCTCTCTCTCACACACACACACGCTCTCTCTCTCTCACACACACACACGCTCTCTCTCTCTCACACACACACACGCTCTCTCTCTCTCACACACACACACGCTCTCTCTCTCTCACACACACACACGCTCTCTCTCTCTCACACACACACACGCTCTCTCTCTCTCACACACACACACGCTCTCTCTCTCTCACACACACACACGCTCTCTCTCTCTCACACACACACTCACTCTCTTCTTCTGTTCACAGCGGAGACACAGAAGAACCTCCCTCCTGCTGCAGCTGCAGACAAACCCAAGAACAGCAGAAGAGCAGCGGCAGCGAGCCACACTGAGGGATGGGATGGGGAGTAGAGCAGATTACA